CACTGTAATGTTGTAATAAAAAGAAGGAACATAAGAAGCTTTGCGTATGATTCAGATTGAAGGTCAGAAAAAACTGATCAGAGAGAAGACGTTTAGCATCAGTTAGACAAAAGTATTTAATTTATTATATAGTGTGTAAGGATTATGAGGCAGGCGTAAAATGGACTGACACAAAAGACTTGGAGGATCTGGATTTCGCCGATGATATATGTCTGATCTCCCATAAACTGGAAGATATGCAAGTGAAAAGCAACAAGCTGGCAGAAGAAGCATCAAAGAAAGGACTTCAAGTAAACATAATAAAACAGAGGTGATGAAGATTCCTGGCCAACATCAACAGCAACAACAACAACAGACGACAGTCAGCATAAATGGGAGGAACCTGAAAGAAACAGCCTCCTTTACCTACCTGAGAAGCATCATTTCAACTACAGGCGGAACTGACGAGGATATCAAAGCAAGGATCGAAAGCAAGACAAGCTTCATTACTCTCAAATCTGTGTGGAGGTCAACAGCACTCACCATCAAAAATAAGATCCGGATTTTCAACTCAAATGTGAAGTCAGTCAGTGCTACTCACTATACGGATCAGAGACTTGGCGCGTCATAAAGAGCATCTCAAACAAACTGCAGACCTTCATTAACAGCTGTCTTCGCTCAATACCACTCAAGATCAGATGGCCGACCGGAGAAGATCAGCAACAGGTATCTCTGGCAGTGAGCGAACCAATCGGGAACCGATTGTGAAACAAATAGGCAGGAAGAAGTGGAGATGGATTGGCCATACTCTGAGGAAACCATCAAGTGACATCACTAGACAAGCCATCGCTCGAGTGGAACCCGAAAGGGAGGCGGCGAGTTGGTCGTCCAAGGGTGACTTGGAGGAGGTCATGCGAGGAGGAGATGAAAGCATGTGGACAGACCTGGAGCAGGGTGAAAAAGTTCTCAGAAAATCGAAGGCAATGGAGGTGCGCAGCTAAAGCCCTATGTTCCTCTAGGAACTAAAGGATACAATAATAATAATAAGGATTATGAGGTCAAATGCTTAGTCAAACAAGGGAAAACCAAGATTTTCGAAAGTAGAAATTCAGTCAAATATAGACTAACAGGACCTAACAGAATAAGTGGTAGCAGTGCATTCAATACTTCATATTCACAATAAAGTTTGGTATACGGCAAAATTTACCATGCTTTAGTGGAAGGAGATAGACAGAGGTTAATTACCTGGTAGACTCTTATCAATTTGCCAACCCTGACCATGATTTTAATGTCATCTACCGAATCAACGCTAACTTACCTCGTTTTCTTCATTACAGAATTCTAAAGACAGTGGAGGCCTTGGCAATTGATGACTTTAAGCCAGACCATTGTGTACAAAAGAAGTGTGCACAATCCCCACTTCTGCCTTGGCGGTAGAGGGATAGACATTTATTTATTTTGTTTATTTAGTTATTCTATGTACGTTTCCCTTATTACTTCGATTATTATTACTATTCTCACTCTGCATTGTTTCCAATTGTTCCACTTGTCACTCTAAATCCAAAATTGCTGTTTTTTTTATAATTTTTACCATACAGAATTCTATCGTATCAAATTCCACACCATATTATGTAACACTTTATATTCGCTTACTAATCCTACATTTATGCACCCCTTTTCAACATCCACACACCTTATGTATTATTCTATATACGACATTAGTTGTTTTGCTACTTGACATTAAACTATGATTATAATCACAGATATTTTAATTGCATTTCATACTATTATTATTTCATGTGTTCACATTTTTGTTCTAATTCCCTCACCGCATATAATTTTTTAGAAACCATATACATATACGATTGTACAGCTTGATAATAAATTCGTTGTTGAAAAGAGCCTCTTCGCCAAACATTCTACTCTTAATGCTACAGAGGGAATTATTAAATTACTACATTTGTGTTTATCGAATCAACACCGGGTAAATGATTTAAGATAGTTCAGGTGTAAGTGCACACATTTGGAAAATTCTGCTAGGAATAAACAGAGGAATGGAACATAAATCAAGTATAAAAAATGGATTCCGGAGACTGTGTCAATACGCTGATATGTTTATAAGCAATAAACTATGCTCAAAAGGTCATCCAGTAAACAATACTATATCATTGAATATTTTACCAAATGAACAAAACTGACCAAACGAATTGTGACTTAAAAGTGTGCTGCTTCTAGCAGACTATGAGTAAAAATTTCCTGATGCTCGTTTTGAAGTGATTTATGTTTATGAGTGTACACCCCGTATGGAATATTATCGTAAGAGCGTATACATTTTACAGTGATTTTTACAGTGACGGTAGATTATCCCATCTGTACCGGGCTAGAAACATAGCTGTTGACCATAACATATCATCATGAAATGTCAAATTGGTGGATTATGATCTGCCTTGAATAGCTTTCAAACTTTCTATACTTTAACAGTAAACATAAACAGTCATCACCTTGGCGAAACGACAAATTTTTTAAAGTAGGATGCGACATTCTTAACACAGATGTATATTAATTTTCCAATTTTCCTAATTTCCGATGTTCCTCTAACCTTTCGAAATCTCAAATTCGTCTAAACAAGACTGAGAATATCTCAATCTTTCGAAAAGGTTGGAGCTACGAACTGCTAGGTAACTTTTGATTTGGCCACCAGACAAAAAAAGACTAATTTAAATGCTTTGCGAATGCTCATATCAATTTGTGGTATATACTTTGTTGTTTAATGCTCCAAATATACCTACAGCAGACAAAAAAGAAAGAGGATTACGCTATTCAAAGGCGACTGTTAGATACTAGATTATTTTAATGCCTAATAACAGTAGCTTTATTCTGAACAACTTATGTATAATGTATAGAATTTTCAGCGGAGTCTAATGCATGCGATTTTCTATTCATCTAGGACCCTCAAATAAAAGCTTAATTGACAGTAGTTAGCGTGATACATCGGTGGCACAGCGGTTAGGACTCTCGACGACCATGAACATGTTCCAGGGTTCGATCCCTGGCCACAGACGCACTCCTTTACCACGCTTAGCCGTAAATAATACTGGTAAAGAGGAAAGGATAGGCCTGAGGCTAGGAACCCCATCCTGTAAAATTAAACACTGCTTTAGAAACTTCAAGCCACTGGTTTGAGGCCCGATGTTCCACTGGGAACATGAAGGAAAAACGTTCTCGTGATACAGTTCAATCTGGCCTGAAGTGCGAATCAATCCATTACGATATTCCTTCTTTCACTTCTTGAAAAGAAATGCACGAAATTTCGTTGAACGCCAAGTACAAAACATTTCAGTGTAAATTTTGTGAACCAAGCACACCACTCAGGAATAGTCATCTCATACATATACTGGGATAAGCTCCCATGGAAAATAATGCTTTTTATTATGTTTTACGAGTTGATCACGGATTGATATCAGTTAGAGAACCATTGAAAACCAGGGAGTACTGGACAGCTGCTGTTTCATCTAGTTTGGGAATCATCGGCATACGCACCCACTGGGTTTCGAACCCAGGACCTCTCTAACTGATATCAATCCGTGATCAACTCGTAAAACATAACTAATCCTTACAAACCAAAACTATAGAAAGCTTTTATGTGTTCAGTGGAAAATTGCCAATCAGCAGGTTGTTAAATGTTTTGAATGCTCGTCGGAGTAAACAGTACTACTAGAGGTTATATGTTAATAGATTTGAAAAAAAAACTGAATAAGAGAAATTATATACAAAATATATTGATGGAGCTTTTTGGTAGCCCAGGTTTTAAGCAGGCCGTCCAACTGCATTGTGAAATAGTTATTTGCCACCAGTAATCAAACTGAGATAAAGACATACTTGGGCTTGTCTAAGAAGCTAGATGTGGTTTTATGCAATGATTCTTTTGAAAACAAACACATATAACCTAAGTGTTCATTGCTCTGAGTAAATAAAATCAGTCAAACCACTAATATACACAAACATATTGAATCAAAACGACGAAATTCCCTGAAATTCGGATTTTTTAAGTTCCAGTAGCATATGAACAATTATTTTAATAAACTGTATTAGCACAAAATTCATGAGTGCAAACTTATGATGAAGAGTCCTGCACTAGGACGAAACAGCCATTCGGCCTTTTATTCTTCCCTGGTTTTTAGTGGCTCTAATTCCTAAATAATTCGCGATCTAACTCGAAATCAGTCAGACACTTTCAAACCAACCGTTCAGAACTATTCTGATATTTACCAGTAGCTTGAGTGCTTTCAGAGGTTCTGTAAAATAATAACGCTCTGTGATATTACCTGGAATTGCCATCATCCCGACTTTATGCGGTAATCTGGCTTTAAAATGACAATCATTAAGTTTAAAACTAGCCATCTGTTGCTCTCGGATTAAATTTTTGTTAAGTAGACTGAGGTATATTTCACGCATATACTGATATCGGATATAAGGAAATCATCCAATTTCACTGAACACTTGCACTGCCCACTTTCTTGCATTACTCATATAATTCAATTACGCCTGCTGAGTTTATAAGATTCATGAAAATAAAAATTCAAGTATATTTTCGCAGACAGAAGTTTTGATAAGAGGCAAGTATAGATATGATTTCCACCTGTATGAGTGCAAAAAGGGTGAGTATATACGTTGTCTCGTGTTATATTTTCCGCGACTAATTTTTTTTCGTCTTTCATTGGCTAGAATGGTGGCGGTCAATTGGAGTTTGAATTGTCCTTGGGTGCGTGCTGTCGGGTGCTGTATTTGCGTGGTTGTGTTTGCGTCGTTTGCCAGCATATGTGATTACTGTAAACGTGTATGAAACTATTGTAACGCTTTGTTTTTTTTTGTTTGTGCATGTACTAGGCATTATTTGTCGTACAATTCGTTGTTTGGTCTATTGGTTGCTTGCGATGTCAACGAACCGGTGGGTTCTTGTGTTTTTCTGTAATTTAGGTTATACGTGCGGCATTTTCTTGATGGTTATCGATCATCCCTGTATTTCAATGTTGTTTTTTTACGATTTATGTTGGAATAGTTGTGACATAGATGGATCCTAATTGATAACTTTATTTTAGTCCGTTGCAGGTAGTCAATTCGAGTGACAGGAGCACAGATTTAAGTGGAATTTTTGCTGAATACATACTTGGAAAGCGTTTCTTCAGCTGGGATGAATTTGAGAAGTCATTAGCAGAATTTCAAAAAGTGAGGAAGTCATATAATGCTAACAGTGTAGTTATCCTACACTCACTATGTTCATAATTGCAGCAAAACGATGCCGGATGCCAGGTTTAAGTACGCTTATGTTGGTTTTAAATGCACTTTTGGAGTGAATCGTACAAGACCTGGATTGAAATTGAAAAACAAGTCGTAAGAAGAAGTGTAATATGATTTCATGAATATTGCAGGTCTAAATGTTGCAATTGCTCGTCTTCATTTCGCGTGGTTTTGCATCATAGTGAATACATAATTGCTTCCCACAATATGGTGCATAACCATCCATGCAGCAGGGTGTACATGCAGAATGACCCATGGTATAGACGACTAACAGTTGAAGAGAAAGAAAATATTGAACCACTTCTTCAGCAATCCCACTCATCCGATGAAATAATAATGCATGTTAAGGAGAAGTACAACAAGGATATAACTCGCATTGACGTTAAAAATATGAAAGCCGCAGTGAATAAAGGTAACGTTGACGTACTTGTTACATACTTAAGGTATTTCGAGTCGTCGTGACATTTTTGAATTCCTAAAATCCCGTGGGAAGTTAATGGAGTATTATTCCGATGAACCGATCAGGAATTCACTAACAAGAATTTGTTTTGCAACTTATGAGCAAATGGAATTGTATAAACAGTTCCCTGAAGTTGTTGGTATCGACTCGACGTATAATACAAATAAAGGGAAGTAAGTTTACCAATTCATTAATCAACGTGCAGGTATTCTTTGTTCCAGCTACTTGTGACGGATAATTTTGGTCGTGGACGACCAGTTTTATTTGCGTGGACTAGAAAAGAATTCAAACGAGATGTAGTTTGGATATTAGACTGTTTCCGGCAAATAATGGAAGACACCTCGAAAACAGAATCCTTCATTATGGATTGTGCGCAAGCTGAAATAGCAGCCGTCAAGTTAACGCACAGACAAGCGCACATTGTTTTGTGTTCTTTTCATGTTTGCCGAGCTTTCTGTCGGAAAGTAAGTTTTTCAAAGCATACTTTACATTTTATTCGTAGACAAGAAATCCCATTGTGAAGAACTACTTATGCCGTCTAGTGCAGTGTAAAAGGAGATCAGAGTAATGCCTCTATTGTTCTCATTTTGCAGATTTAATTTCTACTTCAGAGTTATTAGCAGATTGGACGCTAATGTCAGTCAATACCTACAACGTCGTTGGATGCATCGACGAGAATTGTGGGCGGCCTGTTTCAGAGATAACGTGCTGACTTTTGGGAACGATACAAATAATCGTGTCGAGAGTTCCCACAAGCAGATGAAACGGTTTTTGCAAAGATCTGATAGTCTGCATAAAAGTATGCTAAAGGTGTATAAATGGCATAAACGAAGTTTTTCAATAATACAGCAGGAGGCGAATATTGCTCAATCACGATGCTTCACGTATCCCTGTTCACAAAGTTTAATCCCAATTATACGGTTGCTTACACCATACGCCGCGAGGAAGGTAATACGTGAATACCAATTGCGACGATGGGCTACTGTTGAGTTCGAATCCGTTGATTATGTATTTTTCAAAGAAAATGGGAAAACAGTGCAGGTTGATCTGAGTGCTTGCACCTGCACGTGCTTTACATTTCAGACCTGTCGGTACCCCTGCCGACACTTGCTTTTGGTCCACTTAAGAAAGCCGTATTTCACAGGTATATTTGCGTTTTTATGACTACGTTTTTAATGTATAATGTAATGTAATAATCAGTTCATAGTTATCTTAACTTTTTTTGTTCCACCTTTTGTAGTTAACCATGTGATGCATAATTGTAAACAATGGACGTGGTCACGCAACTTGTTCGCATCTCAAAGTACGTCAGCAGTTATCCCTCGAAATCGAAGTAACATATACGATACCAAAAAGAAGATTATCAATGCGGGTATGGACAGAATTAATGACAAATTTGGAGAAGTGTTTGCCAATGCTTATGCAGACGGAGTAATCGCAGGAATCAATCGTGTTCTTAATATGTAAATAAACTAAATTTTTGTCATAATGAAAATAAAATTTTCATGTAAATTTTGTTGTCTTTCAATTCATGTGTTCACTTTGTGAGCACGGCATGCTAGACCGGTGCTCTCTAGGACTTTCACTACTAACAATACGTAAGTGTAATTGTGTAGGAACGATGTCGGTCAGCATACGTGTTAAATTATAAGTATTTCAGTTAGCTAACGTGCATAAGTATCATAGTCATATACAAGTCTTTAGGGACAATAGTAGGCATACCTTAGGCACTGCATTCGAGTCCCAGTTCTTATACGGTTACGTGTATTCGAAAGTATTGCATTACTAATGTTTCACTTAAAGCGTGATGTCAATCCATATGACTAAGGCTGTTGACATGTAGCGTAAATTCAACTCTACACCAGACGAATTATTGAATTCGTTGAGCTTTAACAATCGTATTTAGATTTAGCTTACACTAAAATATGCCACCAATTACTTCGTCAGTTCTTATTAATAAGTCATGTCTGCACCTAGTCATCATGACAAATACATCTAAACTCAGATATAATAAGAAAGGTCTGGTAAGCAGGATATTAAATGTATTTAATGAAAAAATAATAACAAGCAAATGTGTTTACGCAGTCGATTGTCGGAATAATTTGTGCAATGTCGAATCTCTGTGACTGGGGTGATTGACGTTACCAGATATCTACAAATAAGTAAACAAAGTGTTTTTTAAATAGCTGAAGTAAGGAAGAAGTAATATTAAAGGTAAACGATTTATATCTGCCTACCTTTGCTGAAAATGGTTTATTCTCCTTTCTCATTCTTTGGTAATGACATCATTATTCTGGGGTTTTCACTGCAACACACATTATTCCTCTTCTAAAGGATAGCAGCAAGCATATAGTAATAATTTCAAATTTCGTTTAAACCAATGTTTACAATGAATGCATGTCATTTCTACAGGCGCAATAAGTTATGTTATAAACTGCAATCGTGAAGTATCATGAATTATAAGAGTTAAATTGTAAACCCTTAATAATGAACACCGTACATTTGGCTAAGTGCTATGTCGTTGGAATGTGAGTATACATCTGCAATGTTTAATGCCAACCATATTGGTGTAAGGATAGAAAATATGATGTTTTCTATGAAAATACAGCTTTGTTCCAACACTGCTGTTGTTGTGTTTCTAATAAAAGCAAATAGACTGTAAGCATAAAGGCATATCCAGTTAACATAAAATGCAGTGTAATAGTGCACAAATGAAAAGACCATAGTGAAGTAGATAAGTGATACTTCAGTGAGAGGTAAATTGAAAGATCTGCAACCTTATAATATGGAAGACAACCTGACATGTAAGATGTCTCACAAATTTCAATAGGGCCTGTGGGGTACCATGGATGGTTTGGCGTCAATCGCAGCTTTGGAATAATGAGTTACAAATGCTAAAGGTAACAACCAACGAAACTGCAGTAGTATTTTCTAGCTGTTCAGCATTTTTTCCTTTAATGCAGTTTCTTATCAACAGTTTGCAGTATTCAGAACATCACAAGTTGCTTACAGATAACTTGTTTAATAATAACTGCGTTAAATATATGAGCCATAAGTGCATCTTCTACATCTTTCATAGCCACAATTAAGTCATTAAGGATCTCACAATATCTTAGTGATGTGAAGCAAAATAATTTTTAAGATTGATATAACCTATGTAACAGGTGTAGTAGTTGTACGACACAGCCGCCAGCTACTAATCGACATAAATCTGGTACTAATTTTAAGTACTCTGACATTTGAGAAGGACTATTTATACTATTCTTCCAGACACAATGAACACTGATGTCAATATACTCTGATGCCATTTCATGCACTGAGCAATTAAGGCCTTGTGAAATTCCATGTGCAAATGTCAATTAAACTATTTTCACATCTTCGCCCAAGCACTTTTAACTAGGAACTTCATCTAAATAGATATAATAACCAGGAAATTCAGCAGCCTGTCTCATTCATCGCATAATGTCGTCAATGTGTTATGGAATATTTCAGTCATCCCGGATGATAACAGAAAAGTTTAACATGTTCAAAGCACACATCTAACCTATGTCTGCATGCTATTTCTCTTTCATAGGCCAGATTCTCATAGATTCACTGGAATGACAACAGCCATTGACTGCAGTATATTTACAACCTTAAGATCTGAAACAACTGGAAAATAAACAAACCCTCAACGCACTATAATGCAAATAATAGTCTTTCTATGCGAACTTTCTTAAAAAGGATGACTTCTTCATTGATAATTCGTCCGAGCTATAATATACAATTTTACGCTCTACTAAGAACAAAATACAGCAAAATACTGCCATCCGGCTACATAAGTCTAAAACTAGTCAAATATAATCTATTTCCAAAAAAATAGGTGATTATAACGTCTGTTGACGTGAGCGCGGTAACCGATGGCATTGCGCGATAACACCTGGTGTCGGCCTATATCCTCACTCGTGCAAAAATAAGTTTATAGTGAAATGAGAGAGACAAAGCAATTTAATAGCACATAAAACAGATGCATAATTCAAAATTCATGGGTTACATCCTATTGGATGAAAGGTCAGCGAGATCACCTCGTAACCTCACCACCCTGTCATGGTTGCATACTTCTGAAAAATTCCAAACCAGGATGAAACATTTGTCCATTACTCTATGGTTTACACTGGTTTTCTGAATAATACTGGTCTGTTATCAAACTGGAGACCACTACTTTCATAATAATACTAAAATTCTAAGCAAATCAAGGGTAGTATGCTTTTGAGCATGGGGGATTTCACCTTTATAAGAATATGAAATCGAGTGAGTAATTTAACTGGAACACCTGAAGATACTCTGCATATTACTCAAACCGACTGGTGTTTGTAATAATTGGTACAGAACAGTTTACAAAATCTTGAATTGTTGGCAAAGTGAAAATAAAATTGTGCTTTCACGTGCCGTAAGCTTCAGTGAATTACGAGCCACACAAAGCTATTGCGTAGACGAAAACTACTCTAATCACTAATAGCAGGTTAAACAACAACGATAAAATTGCCACAAGTACTCAAAAACAAAAGACAAAACTGCATGTTGACACGCGAACTTTCACCGCCTCAGACAGTCGTCAAAACTCTTAGTGTAACGACAGAAGACAACAGCCAGGCAATAGATTATTTATTGAGAAAATCAAGAAGTATTCATGGAATTTTATGCGAATCGTTATTAGCGCTTTGTTAGTGGAGAAGCAACCTCTTCTGATTGATTGTTTTCTTGCTGAAGGTTATTCTATTATCTCTTTGTGGCCGTTTGTCAGAAAATCGAGTCACATATCTGTGAATCACATTTCCGCACTTTGACTCCACTGTGATTGACTGGTGATTATCTCAAGGTTAAGCTTTGTTGCTGATTTTCTCATGGCCCTGATTCGAGACGTGAATATTGACGTAAATTATTGTCTACAATTTCGGCTTGCAGACAGCTCCCACCATGTTAGTAACAATGCTGAAAATTTAGGTGTTAACTGAAACTGAGAAATGTTATATTCACTGAGAACCAGAAATAGTTAGGAAGCATTAGCAGCTTAGCTTTCACAAAAAGCAGGAAATATGAAGGTCGACATGCATGCTCGATATGTGGAAAATACAGTTAGATCAAGATTATAGGCAAATATTAGATAAAACTAGGGGCGTATAATCAATCGCTA